AAAATTAAGAGAGCAATAAGCACCACATTACCCTCTTCTTTAAAGTCCAATTTATTTTGGTCTGGATATGCAACTTTATGGTTAACAAGAAAAATGCCCATACTGTATTTGGGCTGGACAATAGTTGTTGGGTTTGTTTCATTTGGTGTTGGTGCTTATTCGGCCTGGAAAGTGGAAAAAAAATCTGCTGTGGAAATTGAGGTTGAATTAAATGTGATTTTCTACAAATGTTAATCATTGGAGTATAATTTTAGCAATTTCTAAAATGGTTTTCATCTTGGATTTTTTATAGAAGAAAACTTGAACTAACTTGAAATCTTGTTCCTTACATTCCAACACTCTTATGTGATCCGACGATTGATATTTACTTTACCAATAATTCAAAAATTGTCATTCCTTAAATTAGATGAAATTACTAAATATTAATTTTAAACTACTATACTAAATATTCCTTGAGTCAATCTTAAAAGCTATTAGCCAATAGTCATTATAAAGTCGTATACATTTTTTTTAAAATTATAATATGGGTATCTGAATCTTTAATTTGACTAATTTCATAAATAATTACAAATAATTTTATCTACAAATATTAAATAAAGATCACAAATATAATCCATTAAAACTATTTACACTAAAATGAGATTAGAGGGATTCAAAATGGTCTGCCAAATTGGTCGCCACACATACAATGATAGTTTGGACAACTCTTAATTGATCAACATGATCACCTAGCTACAATTGCCGCATGTCATTAGGTCGAACCCTCTTGATTGATTGACCATAGAGCCAAACCTCTGAGATCGTCTAGTGTCGATGTGATTGCCACATTAGAATTCCATTATGGACTGAATCACCATCAAATGAAATTTTTTCGTGAATGGATGGAAGACTTGAGTTCATCACGAGTCAAGTCCATCGCAACAAAATGTGCGAGATTTGTATCTACCACGAGCAAGTCTGCTATGGGCCACCATCAAAGTCTAGGGTAACCCATTAATGGTTGCACTCTTGAGATTAGACTTCAAACAAAAACATCAAGCTCCCTTAGCAAATTATTATAGGTTCCAATAGAGGTATAAGATCTTCTAATATAACAACTCTCATAAGGTGTGTATTTTTATTAGAATCCAAATAATACGTAATAATTTTGTTTGTTTATATATATGTTAAATTAAGTGCTTTTTATACTCAATCAATAAAACTTTTTTAGTTATTAAAAAAATAAAAGAACAAACACACCAACCCTATACTGCATGCTAAAGAGCCTCTCTTTTTTTTGTCTACACCCAATATTTTTCTTCCAACTTCCTCACATATCATGGATAGAGCATTTTCAGTTACATTTTGCATGACCATAAAAACATTGTTTTTATTTTTCCTATTGTCTCATTAGTATAAATGATATATAAATACTTGGAGGTCGAGAGGTTATTTAATAGTTTTTTCTTTTTATAAAAAATCTATTAAATTAAAGAAGGGAGAAAAAATTATTTATAATTTTATTATTTTTGAGATATTGGAGATAACTAAGAAGGTGAACAAATGTCAACTACAAGAAAAACAATTAGAAAATTGAAACAGGTTATTATAGGGAAAAAAAATCAATCTCATATTCAATATTCACACTTTAGAATTTAAGAATTTAATTTTCAAAGTTAAAATAAGTGCATGCACGATAAAAATTTCATCCATCAGCTTCTCTCTTTTGTATGCAACAAAAGCAAAACAACATCAAGAAATGAAGAGTGCGTCGGACAGGAATTGCTTAAGAGGGTAAAAGCTAGTGATAATATTTTCAAGAAAAATGTCAATCAAAGGTTTGTTATTTGTTAGTCTTGATGTGCCTTCCTTTCATCACCGATTTTTTTAGGTCTAATTTTTTTGATTTGGATAATAACAATATTTTCAGGCCAAATTTTTGCAAATCTCCATATTAATCATTCCCTAAAGGATTTTAGGTGTGTATATCTCACATTTTTTAGTGCATTTAATAAAAATTAAATTTCTTCAAGAATAAACTCAAATTTAAACTTAATATATAAGATAATATTTATTTACTGGTATATTCAACTCTTTAAGATTGTTCAAGTGTGGGTGTTTATATATGTTAATTTACTTTTTGAGTTCTTAAATTGGTACTTGATACCCCTCATATTTAATAATATTATAATTTTTTTATGCTACTAGTTTTCTAATTAATATTCTCATGTTTACTAAGAAATGTTAATTAATAATTCATTATCTAAGCTTTAACCTTCTTCTCGATTCATTCAACGCAAAAAAAAAAGTGTTTGATAAAGTTTAGAAAGTACTTTAAAAATAAACTATTTTCTTATAAATTTAAATTTTTGTTAAAAAATAAAAAAAATAACTTTTAAATGTAATTCTAAGTTTGAAAAAAAAAATTGAATATATAACTTTCTCAAAGCTTAAAATCATTTTAAAATTTTTCTCTAATAAAATTTTAAATTTGTCAAAGAAGAAGTTAATTTCTTTTTAAAATTTGTTTTAAAGCTTTGCCAAACACCCTCATAAACATCTATTCCTAGTAATCAGACTTCACATCTTCATTTTCCTTCATTTAAATTGATGTAAGGAAGAAAAATAATACTACAAAAGGATGAGACAGCTTTGAAAGAAATCATCCTGATTTAGCATTGAAGATTAAACAGATACAACCAGCTCGATCTAGGTCCAGATCATGCTGCTGTTTGGAGCTTGGGCAGAAAGTACTCTCACTGTAGATACATGCTATGAAATCTTGCGTGCTAAAGACAGGAAAGTATATAAAGTTGTTTGGACCAAACACATTATCCCTAGACACAGTTTCATCCTTTGGATGGCAGCTTTGGGGAGACTAAAAACAAAGGTGCCTTTAGAAGTAGAACGTCGAGGGTATGTTCCATGGATACCATCTGTGCTTTCTGCAGGACTGCAGCAGAAGATACCGAGCACTTTTTTTTCTCCTCTGCGATCTGCAATGAAGTATGGGGAGGATCCTTAGAAAAGTTGGATGGGAGTGTGTTCCTTTACATTGGGACAGAGAATGAATGGATTCTAATATGGAGTCCTAGGAGGAACCGAAGGGCCACCACTCTGAAATTATCATTTGCTGCAACAGTCTACTTTTTATGGTTAGATTAGAGACGAACAGAAGATTATTTAGGAATGAAATTGCTTCAGTAGGAACAGTAGTTAATCTTATCAATGCTTGTTTGAAGTTAATTGGTTTTTCATGTAATTCACATGGATATGCCCAGTGTAAGTGTATTAAACCCCAATTAAAGTTCAATATTTGGACTAATACAATCACTTGCCTTCCTTCAAGGAAAAAAAAAGTACGTACTCCAAAAGTAGTTCTGGATGATATTGCAACATCAATTTGAGTACATGCATGTAAATTCCATTTTCACTTGCTTCTTCTGTACAAATAAACTCTCATACTCTAATCATAGCAGTTAGTAATTATTTTTCAATATATTTTCAGAAGATTACTGCCCATTAGTAAAAATGGACTTAAGTTCTATGGTTTTTTATGGTGGCCTAAGTCGCATGATAAAAAGAACAAAAGAAATCAATTAATACAGTGTGAGTAAATTTACAAACCGAGCTTGTTTGGTCTCAGGTAGGTGGAAACACCCTTTGGCAAACCCGGCATTGAAACTTGCTGCTGCTGATTTGTACCCTTCTCTTTTTCCTTCTCCTTGTTCTTTCTCTCTGCCTCAGCTCGCTCCTTTCTCAAAATTTGCATCTCCTCCTCCATTGCAGTTTTCTCTTCCTTCCGTTTTTTCCTATGCTCTGACAATGATGTATCTGACTCCTTCACAGAGAAGAGCATGGGTCCATATTCAGCCAACCATTGTGGCTGCACCATAGTCACACAATGCATGTACTCTTTCGTTGTTAAAATTGCCTCATGATAAACCACGTATTCTGCTGTATCACACATGCCATATAGGGCACTGCTTGGGTGCAAATGGCAGGGCATGTTGTTCCTGCAGTTTACATACACTCCCACACCCTTAAGTTTTGCTGCATTGTAGAAGTATGCAGAACAGATTGCTTTCCGGACAATGTCTGAATCTAGTCCAGAAGAAGTAAGAGGGATTTTCAGAGTATTCAGGATATCTAGTAGCTGAGATATCACTTCTCTGGCCTTCCTTAAACCTTTAACATGCAAAAAATGGTCATTACACCAATCTCCACGGTACTGGTTTGCTTTCCACTGCTTATAAACATTAAGCAGTGTCAAGTGATCAGATCCGGGCACAAAAAATTTTTCTCTTGCTGCATTGCTCTCTCTGCTCTATCCTTTGGCCGGAAGAAAACTGATGGCACCGAAAGCATTGAAACAATCATCAAAATCTCATCTAAGCATCCTAGCCATTCACCCATCAAGAGCATCTTAGCAAGGGGCGGACTTAGCGAGGGGCGGATCCAAAGGAAACTCCACCATTTTCCACCCTATGTCACTTAAGCCTCCAACATTATTAAGTGCACCCAAGATCCATAACTGGTACATAGAATTAAGGATGTTTTCTTTTGGAGGTGGATCCATGAAATCAAAATCCAGCAAATTATCTATTTTAAGTGACTTGAGCAACAGCACCACATTGCCAAGGTTAGTTCTCTGAATCTCGGGCATAGGATTCGGCAGCATTTCATTTAAGTATGCACTCTGTGTATAAAGCCTATAACAAGTACCAGGCCCAGTTCTACCAGCATATCCGGCACGCTGATCAGCAGCAGCACGGCTAATGGGGAAAACTTGAAGAGCATCCATACCCATCCTAGGGTGGTACACTTTCATTTTACCATAACCTGTATCAATAATGTAGAAGATACCATCCACAGTCAGAGAGGTCTCAGCAATGTTGGTGGCAATGATACATTTGCGAGCTCCATCTTCAGCCTTCTGAAATATCTTTGCTTGCAAGTCAGCTGGCAACTGGGAGTAGATTGGAAGAATTAAGAGTTTAGGAACTGTTTTCTCAGTGGAGGAGATGAGATGTTCCATTCTTTCCGCAAGGGCATAACAAGCAGCCTCAATTTCATCCTGACCAGTCATGAAGATGAGGATATCACCTGGAGGACTAGTGATGTGGATTGTCATTGCCTGCTTCACTGCAGCTTGAACGTAATCTTCACATGGGGTCTTCCTATACATAGTGACTGGGAACGTCCTCCCAGGAATGTGGAAGATGGGTACGCTGCAAAAAATTAGAAGGTTAATAATCATAGCATGAAAGTCTAAGGAGCAAGTAGAAACTCTAATGGGGGAATATCATCTACCTTCCAAAGAAATTTGAAAATTTCTGTGCATTCAGGGTTGCAGATGTCACAATGAGCTTAAAATCACAATGCCGAGCAACCACTTTCTTTAGTATTCCAAACAGTACATCTGTGCTCAGCGATCTCTCATGTGCTTCATCCATCACAATGACACTGCAGTAATGGAAAGTTTCAAATTAAATAACATAATTTTCATCAACGATAAGACCTCTAAACATATAGTTTTCATCACTAAGGAGACTACTAAACAAAAGAATAGACAGAAAAAAATTAAAGAAAACTTCCCATACTAGTACTTATCAAGATCAGAATCTTTCAATGTTTCATGTAGGAGGACTCCATCAGTCATGTACTGCAACATATGGAAACTCCAAAGTTTAGCAATCACATCATATTATTGGAAAAAAACCCCATTACAGATGGGACATGCTGTCCAACAAACAACTGACTCAGTGCAACTGAAGAATGCAGTGAAACTCAAGAGATAGAGACACAACGAGACTGCAAGGTGGAAAAGAGTAAATAGCGCTCACTAATCTGATATAAAATACATAGTAGAATTTTTTATTTGTTTGTTTATTTTTTAGACAGAAATACATAGAATGTTCAATCAGCAATGTTACTACTAACTACTAAAAGTATCATGAAGAATTTAACGCCATAGTTAAAATTCCAACAGAAGTGCTTACCTTAATTACGGTGTTTGGTCCAGTTACATCTTCAAAGGTATTGCATAACCAACTTTATCACCTAACTCGGTCTCCATCTCTTCACTAACTCTTTTTGCAACACTCATGGCTGCCACACGCCTAGGTTGGGTACAACCAACTATACCATTCTTAGTGTACCCATCTTCATGAAGATACTGTGTCAGTTGAATTGTTTTTCCAGAACCAGTTTCTCCTACAACAACCACCTGATTTTCTCGAATTACCTGTCAAGAGTTACAAAAAATACAAATCACAAAACGTACCTCAAAATAGTAGAAAGGCACCACCTACTTAATAACATTTAACAAATTGGTCAGGGAAATAAATCTCAAGCCTCTCCCAACCTTTTTCTTCCCTTCTAGTTCTATGTGAAAATGACTAGGGATCCCAATTACACAGATTTTGGAAAGAAAATGAATAGGGGAGCATATGTTTCGTAGGGACAGCTATACTTGCATGTGGAAAGTTCCATAATGCAAATGGTGCATGACAAAATTATACCAATTATGACGCTCTGCATTCTATAACACAAAAGACAAGTGTTTTCTTTTTTCTTTTTCTTTTTCTTTTTTTTTTTTGGGGGGGGGGGTGGTGTTGGTTTGAGCCTTCAAAAGATAGGTGGTTCATTCTGAGTTTTCATGTAACTCAATATTAAACTAAAATATAGGGATGGGAAAATGGGAAAATGTCAAACCTGAAGTAACTCATCTCGCACTGAGTATATGGGCAGGTATTGTTGCTGTTCTGCCATGGTTTTGGATGTTGCAAATTCACTTACGGCTTCCCCCTTTTTCATATGTTGTGAAAATTTTGCTTCCTCCTTGAAATCAACTTCACCATTTTCACTTACTTCAGCGGAGTCTGAATCAATCTAATATCCATAACATAGAAGTCAAATTGGACACATGAACCATGCTACCACAAATACATACAAATATATATATATATATGCATATATAGAGGAGGGATCTGTTCATACACAAATTTTACACATTACGTTTACATGAAATCTCAATCATTTATTTCTTCATTTTCAATGATTGAGATTTACTATGATTTTTTAGGTAAAAAAAATAATTATATTTAATAAATGTGAATAAATCTCAACCACTGAAAGTAGAGAGATGAATGATTGAGATTTTATGTAAGTGTGACATGTAAGATTTATGAGTAAGTGAATCCCTACCATATACATATATGTATGTATATATAATTCTAAACTTGGAGATTAGATGTTCCTTTAAAAATACCTTTTGTGCTGTTTTCTTAACACCAAGGATATCACCAAGCTTTGAGCCTGCAAGCTCCCAAAAACGTTGACATGATTTATTCATACTTTGTTTCTCATGAAATTCCCTAACCAGAGTAGATCCTTTGTGTGAAATTATAGCCATGTCTGATGTGGGATCTTTTATGGGCATTATAGGCCTGGCTTGTTTGGTAAAAGCAACTCTTTTATCCAGGAAAGGAGGTTTTGTATCTGCAATGATATTTGTAAAGGGAAATTTTTAGCTAAAATGATAAAGCAGTCATCTAATCTTGTTTACATGTCAGGGAAAAAATACTTCCATAAACTGACAGAACTCTTATCATAGAATACACTTACCATGTACAAGTAGAATAACCTTGTGGTACTCATCATCATCAAACTCAGTCTGGACGTCAGTACCTTGTACAGCTCCAGATCTAAAAAGTTGTTGATCTTCCCACTGGGCATTATCAGCAGTTCGCCGAGATAACTTTTTGCTCTGAGCAATTGACACTCTAGATCCATCCCTTTGAACCTGTTTAGAAGAGTACCATCCAAAGAATTCATATTAAACAGCAAGAACTACCAACCAAATAATATGTATTTAGATCAACTTTTAAAATTGAAAGGCAGCAACAAAGTATCAATTAATCTCATCGTCCATCAGTTTTGAAGGATATGAAAGCATGTGACTTGACATATGCATATTCTAAACACTTAACATACCCAGACTCTATATTTCAAAGAACTTCTATAATCTATACTATAACAACACAATTTAGTATTTAGAACAATTTTTAAAATTGCAATGCAGGAAAAAAGGATCAAGTAATCTCAATGTCCATCAGTTTTGAAGGATATGAAAGCATGTGACTGACATATGCATATTCTATACACTTAACATATGCAGACTCTATATTTTGAAGTACTTTTGTAGTCTACACTATAACAAACACTAAAGTATAGAACCGTCTCAATCACACACACCACTTGTTTTAATGTCCCTCATTTTTGAAGGATATGAAAGCATGTGACTGACATCTGCATATTCTATACACTTAACATATACTGACTCTATATTTCAAAGTACTTCTGTAGTCTACACTATAACAAACACCAAAGTATGGTACCGTCTCAATCACGCACACCACATGTTCTAAAGCACCTCTACACTACAACAAACAGTAACGTAATAGTACTGTCTCAAAATATCCAGACAAAAATTTGAAAGTACCTCTACAGCATAACAAAACTAAGTAATAGTGTTGTCTTAAAATATAAAGGCTATCCTCAAAGGCATATGTACACTAAATAAGCAACTGAAGATGATTGTGCATACACTAGCTTGAAAAAATGAGTTATAAACTAATGCTAAAAAAGTGGCCAGAACAAGGCAAACTGAAGGCACTTAAATCATACCAATCTTTTGGCCAGCTCCGCCTCTTTCTTTTGAAAAGAAGCCTCATCCTCAAGGAAAAGTGCCAAGCTATCAGCATTAAACATGGTGCATCCTTCCTCTTGATCATACCTGTACAGCAATATTCACACCAGCAGAGTAACAAAGTTACTTCGAAGCAGAAAATGCAACAAACACAAATAAAACCCATGATTAAATTCATTAAACAATTAGGCTCAAAGACCATTGAACTTCTTCCTTAAAGAGCTAACACGTAAGAGCAAGAACATAATATGGGTTCTTTTTTTCTGAAAACAGGTGCATATAAAATCCAAATGCTTAAGAAACAAATATAAGAACATTTTTTCAGCTCAATTGAAATGAAGCAAGATCAGAACCCAAATGGTTTTGACCTGCCTATGGTGAAAACATTTTCCTTTGCTGCTAAATTCAAGTAGACATTGAACCCACCATCTAAATACCAAAAGAATTTACTCATGAAGAACAAATCACACTATTTTGGATAAATCTAATACAGAATTACCATTTTTACCAAATATATATATATATAGTTACCATGCACGGTCAGCATTATATTCCATCTCCGGGCACATGCTTTCAGTACTCTCATGATTGTGTTTTCCAGCCAAATAAGTATCATCTGCTTCTCCATCCTAAATATATGAAAATAAGACAGAAAATTGACATTAATAGAGCCAAAGTTTTGAGTATTATCAAAACTTTCAATAAATAGGAAATATGTTTCTAGAGATTAAAAGACAAATACCCCCTGTCAACCAACGTACAGATAAATTAACATGGGAAAAGTCAGACAGCAATAAATACACTACCTCAAATGATTGGGAATTATCCCCGGTAAAGCTAAGTTGATGAGACATGTGATCAGTTCTAGAACCTGATGATCTGACTGATGCTCCAGAGGCTGCAATTGGAACAGGAGAAGGAACCACATAGTCCCAGGGGGAAGCAGCAGAAACTGTGAAAGTTCCAGCATTAAGGCAGAAGTTTTAATTTTTGCTTTCATGTCATAACAAGCAAAGAAAAGCAAAGATAACCAATACCAAAGTTACAATAAACAATTTAAATACCTGTGGACGAAGGGGTACAGTCACCCATCTATGGGGAAACTAGTCTAGCATCGGGCGAGGCCCCAACAAACATTGGGGACGGAGAAGGTTGATGGAGCCTACTAGTGGTTGAGTAACCATCCCAATTAGATCTGCCTACATAAATGTCAATATTCAGATGAGCAATACTGTTCAAAGATGTCAAAAAGATTGTTACTAATTAATTTAACATGGAAAATAGCATTGATAATTTGAACTATCAAGAATATTTTAAACTCAACTGTACAAAACAAGCCTGAAGCCCCAGTTCCATTTAATTAATGACTACAAGACTTTTAAACTCCATTCTATTTGACACAAAACTATACTTTGAGATACCTTTTTAAGCATGAATGCAAGATTTCCATGAACAGAAGTCAGGATGTTAACATGCCGGGTGCCCTCTTGAAATCATGTCTACTTCGCTTCTTTCCATATTCTTCATATTCCCTACGTGCTTCCCCTCCATAAAACTGCTCTTTCCTTCCGTAATCAGGTCTCTTTCTCCCATCTCTGCCTTTACTTCCGCCATCCCTGAAATCTACTCTTTCAGTGCCACGGCCATCCCTCTCCCTCTCATACCTACTAGAACTCCGATGAGATGAAACATGAACCTTCAGCAAGAAAGAAACTGCGTGTAAATAGTGCCTGTATGTTGCCAAAAACTAATAACAACACTGCAAATGGTGGAAAAATCAACTTACCTCTGAACTAATGGCATGGTTGTGGATGCAATTTCCAGCATCACTACCTGCTTCATCAATTCCAGAAGATTTCTTCTCAGGAGGAGTATATCTCGGCCTGTCCTCAGGAATGTACAATCCCTTAGTGTTGTTCATCGTCTTCTCTATGTCCATGGGGAGTACCGACTCTATCTTATGCCGGTTTATTTTATGAGCTGAGATGGTTGCTCTGATCTACCGGCGACGGTGAGGGGGTGGATTAAGATCTTTTTCGGATGCTTAACCAAGCCGGATGGTTGGAGCTAATTCAAGTCCGGTGTCAGGGCTGACCGGAACAGGGGCGATAGCAGCTGTGGCACTTACTCCGCCGTTCGACGGCCAACAGACCGACAGACGATACGGTGACCTTCCATTATTCCGGAGATCGATCGAGGTTGGTGTGGTGACAAAGTTTGCAAAATCAAATAATATGCATTGATTTGCAAAATAAATACAAATTATTATATACTTGAAGAAAAATGGGAGAAAATCTCTTATTTGAAGTGCTGCAGTGCAGTGCACATGTTTAGGATTTGAAAAGTAACATTTCTTGTAACAGTGGGATCCTCTGATTAACAACTGAATTTTAGAAGGATAAGAGCTTAATCTTGTTCTTGTCCTCCTTAAAAGAATTTAATACTTACACTTGAAACTTTTTCCTTCTTGACATGGATTTGACATGGATTTAGAGTTTCCCTTGGCAAGAGGTTAGGGCTAAACGGCAAGGTCTTAAACAAGGTTTTTAAAATCGGACCGGACTGGCCGGTTGAATCGGTCGGACCGGTACCGGGGATGAAAACGATTTGGTTCACATAAGAAAACCGTTTGAGGTCAAAACCGGTCAAAACCGGTCAAAACGGTCAAAAACCGGTAAAATCGGTAAAAA